CGGATGGCTGTGTGACCGCGTGTGGGGCGCGCACACTTGAGGCAATTTAACGGCAGTGTAAACTACAACCCTGCGACTACGCCTCCTGCACCTGTGCAGCCCATTCCCTCCTTTGTGCTTGCCGGGTTTGTAGACACGTCCACTGAGACATGCGAGAGGAGGCAGGCGATGATAACCATGTAGGATTAGGGAAGCGTGAATACGGTGACCCCCTTTCAACCATGCAGGAGATTTTTTGCAAGGGATGCGAATTAAGGGGAGGGGGATAGGATGGGGGACATACATCACGCCTGAGTTCATACATAATCATGCAAGTGTAACGTAAACTATATCCAAATTTGTTCAATGACAGTAAGGAGATGCGATTTCATGGCGGTCATGCTTGCGTTTAAAAAAGGTCTTTAAATAGGCCCCATTTTACCATCCTCACATTTTCGACAATTGGCCTTAACAACTAAACCGTAGTTTGAAACTTGAAACACCAAAACATTGACGCTGCAACGTGTTCCTGGAATAATGTCTAAGAGGCATTGGTACTGCTTGTTGTGAATGCAAATTTGCTACTAGTTTGAGCAAATATGCGAAGTGCCACGACAGACCAACACACACAAATACACGAAACTCTAATGCATCTAAATAAAGTCTCAAAGAGGAGGAAATGGTGAGCTTAAAGAAATTATTTGTTTACCGGAGGAGGTGGGATAAATTTTTGCGTCCACAAAATTTAAAGGTCAGGCAAATGGAGTGTGAGGACTATAGAAACAGGCAACGTTAGATAATGGAATGTGTTTAGATACTTTATGGATCTTCACATGTAAAGTAAGTACGATTTGACTATGCCGCATAAAAATCTTTGTTTGATTAGCATAGGACTCCCAAAGTGCCAACTCATATCATACAACAACCCAGTCATAATCAAATCAAAGGCATACAAAATGCACCCGAGTTGGATAACCTAGTTCAGAAGACCACAAATGGTATCACTAGACTTGTGTTTTTCGGAGATATTATAAGTTGAATCAACCCTTTCACTGTATGCGGACGCCGTGGGTTGGGGGAGGAGAAGGGGGTGGTAGATGCGGCATGGTTAAAACAAATCTGAATTGTTTAGGTTAACTGTCAAATCTTGCTTTTTACAAGATACAGGTGGCTGTTTTTGGCTAGAGCACGAGAGAAGAAAGAGACGATTGACATACGAGGTGGAATGTTTTGCAGATACCAACACAAGCATGCAAACATCCGTTGATGATAAAGCCCACTTCCTCCTTCAAAAGGGGGCAAGGCGTGAGGTTCCATACCGGTCCACCACAAGGCCACGAAAATGAACTTATGAATATGTGGCCTAAAGTACCTAACAGCCAAACGACGCGTGAGTAAACGCTTGACATTTTAAATGACTAGGGCTTCGCACATCACAATTACAAATTTTAATCAACATTTAAACTTAATTTGCGTATCAGACGAAGCTGCTGGTTTGCATCCAACAGCAGGTAGGATCAATGTGAGGAATCGAAGTGTTGCCTCGATTCAATTTTTTACCCAAACGATTTGGTTACTTTGAGAAAAGTGAATTGTACTTCGAGATCCGCAAAACCAACATTTCTTTACTAATCATGACTCGTATTTGCACCAATGCTCATATAGTTGATTAAGATGCAGGGACTGGATTTTGGTGGTGCTT